AATATGATAGGCCTAAATTGAACCCCACTTTTCAACACTAAAAACTTAGATAGGCCTAATTTAATAAATAGATTAAACACTACAGTATTACATATATTACAGTAGCAGAATATTATGAATTCAAGCTGTAAGCATTCGACGGTGGTAATGCTCTTTCGCATGGAGCTGCATGGATGTGGACCTGATAATTATGATGCTCACCAGACCAGACGATACTTAGAATAGTGTAGGGACGGTAAGCCTGTTTATCCAACAAACAGCAGCAGACAACAATTATAGAATCTATTCAAATGCATTCTCATACAAATATTTTAGTTTTTATGCAATTATTATTATGCAATTATTATTAGTTATTTTTTAAACAAATAATTAAAAATGTAAACATTTCCTTTGAACATAACGTTTTCCATGAAAACACTGATCTTCATACGTTTCTTGACAAGGAATGTGAGAGGAGATAGTGCCTAAAAATAGAACACCTCTGCTAAAAATAGAATACTGCTCACCGGCCAGGGATATCGCTCACGTGATCAGCCCTAATCAGTAGTTTTCGACTCTGTGTGCGTATTGACTGCCTGGAAGAATGTCGGCTGCTAAATATAAAAGACTGCTAAATGGAATTAGTAGTGTGAAAAATTCTCATCGTTGTACAGCGTCCTACAATTCTATCTACGGTATATTCTTTGACTCTAGTATTTGTAAGCCTACTATTTTATGTGTAGCATCGGAGATGTAGTAAACCAAAACTTATGTGCGACAATGTTAACATTTTGGCGTCCGCCTTCTTTAGATAAAATTGTGATGCTGTATAATGAATAAGGCAAGCTATATAGGCCTTCGGGGGTGAACAAATTCAGCTAAAATTAAACAATACGGGGTTCATTTATTGAAGCTTTTTATCCACTGTTAAGCAATGGGTGTAACCGTAGAGATTTCTATGGAAACTTTTTTATCCATTGCATATAATTAAATGGTACTCATTTCATAGCTGCGAAAAAAAATACAGGCCATCCTGAAATTACGGGGGAAATCCCATTGAGACCGTACATGTCGAATTTCGTGTAGGGTAGGGATAGAAATGAGTTTATAATCACACATCACCAAGTAGGCCTAAAAATATTGTGTATCAGTATATGAAATTAAAAAAGAACGTTCTTGTTGCATTGCCTGAGTTCATTGACGTAGAGGTAAGACAAGGTACTGTAGTCGGAATCACAGAGACAAATACAAGTAGTTAATTTGGCTAGCTGCCAGTTTTTAATCAAGTCCACAGCCAGGAGTTCGTGCTGTGTGAATTTGCCTGAAAGTTTCCCACACCAAGAAGATGTTACTCCTAGTACAAACTCATGAATCCATCGCATCGCGGTAGTCGCGTTATGCTACAATCGGCCGATTTGGGTAG